TTACCAGCTTTATTTGTTTCACAATTTCATTTCACACCAGCTGCTGGTCTTTGTTCTCAGCATCTCATTGTGTTCGCCATGTTAACACTAATCTCTGCTAAGTTCAAAGCTGAAAGTAATGAATAAATGTAATGAATATGAGTTGAAATGGTTAGTTAACGTCATTAATAAACAGTTCAAATAGTTAGCTAATCAATTGAAATAGTTTAAAGTTATGAATAAAAAGTACACATTGTTGGCAGAACACACAGTGCATTCATTTTGAGGCACGGTGTCAATACTTGCTCACCTGACAGGCAGTCTTGTGCTACTTCTGACCTCTGACCCTTCCTTGTCAGACAGAGCATATGGCTGAATTATAAATGTACGTGCCTCAGATACAACCTGACTGGGTCGCCTTCTGGTATGCTAAATGAGTCCCCCAGTTGGGTGAGGTTTGCAAACTTTTGTGGCAAGGTCAAATCAAATGCAACCCAAGTGAGAAAGAGGGATGAAAGGGATGAAAATATTGAGGATTTGCTCTCTTGCCCCGCTGCCAGAGAATTTCAAACAGCTGGAACGATTCAGTCAGCTTTTCCAGGGGCAGATGAAAGAGAAGTTGAAAGGCTTCTGTGGAGAGAACAGGCCAGTGAGTGAGTGAGTGAGTGGGAGAGCGAGTGAGAAAGAAAGTGGAGGCTGCTTGACAACAAGGATTTTTTTCGGTAGTGATTCAGCGTAAACTCGGTGTCTGCAAACCTCTCAGTCACTCCTTTCCAATAAAAAGCCTGTCGGGTTAAAGTTGCCTCAGCAGCACAATTGGAATACCCTGTGTAATAAGGTTGCTTGTGTGCTGTGGTGCAGTGTAGGGGGATTTGCCTCAATATACTGCTGGCAGTAAACGGTGGCGCCTCTGAGCTGAGATTCCTGCACGGTCACTGCAGGCGCTTCAGTGACCAGTTTAGTGCCTCAGTTTCCTGTTCTTGTCTCTATTTACAGTATTTTACCCCATCCGCATTTACAGCTTGGGGGGGGGGAGTAGAGAGTGATGAGAGTGCTGCATTGCTGCGACACAGCTGGCGGATTGCCTTTACTTGGAGCTCCTCCTGCTGGTGTAGACACATATTGCAGATTTTTTCCCCCCAATGTTGTAATCCCTGTTGTCAATAAATAAAAGGATGTGAGCAGTGGTGCCACCGGAAATGTTTTCATACCGGATGTTACCTAATGGGACCTCTCATCTTGGGGTCATATGACCGGTGAGTGTGGCAGACTGTCAAGAAGAAGGTCTACATTGATTTTCTTCATTTCTTAGTCAGGGCTTTTTCTTCATCAGTCCGCTTGATGTCCAGATCCTTTAACTACAATCCATATATGAAACTAGACTTTAGAGAAGGAGTAATATCCAGAAGAGAGGACTTAGATTCAGTGGTCTCAAAACCCTCTACTGGATATATTTCTATCATCCCACAATGTCAAACTTATAGAAATTAGAAAACATCTGTCATCTGATAAAGCAGCAAAATGATTCTGTTAATATAAAGTCAAGCTAGGTTAGTTTTTTGGGGGGGTTGGTAGGAAGAACCAGTGTTATTCTCAAAATGGAAATATTCTTGTTATATAAAAACTATTTATCTCTGGGAAAGGAAAGATCTGTAGGCATCCGTTGTCCTATTGAACTCACTCTCCGGCAAGGTAATGTGGCCTCCTTTGAACATGAGTTCCTTCCTTTTCTTAGACTTCACATGGACGTCCTCACCATCATCTAGAACCAGGTTCATGCATTCATTGAAACCAATGATGCAGCCCTCTATGTTCACCTGTTCACGCGTTCACGCAACCATCTTGCAGTTTCTTATCCTGCCAGCAGTTCCCTAAAAGGCTACTTTTCTAAAATTGTTCTTTTTATATATTTTTTGTTTGTCAGATCCATGTATAAATAAGCTTTTTATATAATATATCTACTATAATTCATCAATTAGAACTAGAAATTAGAATTAGTTGAACTTGTGTTTCCTTATTACAGATTTCCATATTTAAATTATATTTGTCATCTCTGCTGCCTCATGCAAATTATCTTCACATAAATGACATTGACACTTCTAGTGACTGATCAGATAATGACCTTCGGCTGCATCTCATGATACCTCAATGGCTAATAAATACTTGACAGTATTTAAAACTCTATGATATCTATGTATTTTAATGCATTATGGGTTGTATCCAACTTTTAAATCCAATACATACTAATGAAACTCTTTCCCCACCTTTCAGACTCTCTCCTCCACACAAATTACAGCCAGCAACGCAGTTTAGCGTCACTGACGACCGTCAAAATAAAAGTCTTCCTCAGAGAAATAAAATAATTGAAACAAACGCATTCATTTTGAAACCCGAAATAAAAATATAAATAAATTCACAGGCAGAGCAGACCCATTGTTTTAATGCCGTGTACAATTACCACTGTTTTTTTTTTTTTTTATGATTTGGCAACGCAACGATGTACTTTTATTTCTTTAAAAAGCAAAAGGATGTGGGCTGTGGTTTGGGACGGATGTTGTGGAGCTTGATGCAGCCGCTGACTTAAAGGCACGGTGTTTGTTACCTTGAAGAGGAAAGTCCCAAACAACTCAACAGTCATCATGGTCCGTGAAGTGGAGAACCTGGTAAGTCTTGTTTACTTATTTATTTTTAGCTCTTATTGTTTATAAATGTTAGGAGCCAGTGTTGGAATAAATAAATACATTTATTTCAGTGTTTTAACTACAGTTTTCAGGTAGTTGTACTTTACTCGAGTATTTCCACTTCTTCCACTTTTTTTACTCCACAACATTTATTTTATAGCTTTAGTTACTTTACAGATTTATATTATTACACACAATATAAATAAACTAATGAGGGTTCGAGCTGTGCGTAAAAAACTAAACACCTACTTTCTTATGATACCAAAAAAAAAAAAAGGTGGAGGTGTATTCCTGTTTCAGTCTCTTAAAACCTGGTTGCAGTGTTTTAGGGCGGGTTTCTGGTTGTTGCAATCAGCGACCACGTGATGAGCGGTAAAGTCTCACACCCACGGAAAGAGATCATTATTTATTTATCTCCACCTCTAATGTTGCATATGTGAGAGACACTCACAAAGTTCGGGGTTATAACTTCTTAATGTTCCGTCCCTAGGTCATTACAGTCTGTATTACTCTATATTATTAAGTGTCCTGAAGATACATCGTGTAAAACCTTCATAACTTTATTCTTATTTCTTTTCACCATGGCATATAACTATTTGAATCCTTCAGAATTATTTTCTTGCAATATTGTGTGACTTTATTTCCAAGTTGGACATAAAATATGTGAGTAAATTTCCAAATATAAGAGTTCAGGTTAGTCAACTATCTGTTTTCATTTTCTGTAGGCTGAGTTCAAGGCCATCCTGAAGGAAGCCGGAGACAAGCTGGTGGTTGTGGACTTCACAGCCTCTTGGTGTGGCCCCTGTCATAGGATTGGCCCAGTATTTGTAGTAAGTTAATAATTTTTAAATAATTGGGAAAAGGAAAGGGCTGGGAAACCACTTGATGTCTGTATGAATTAGGGGAGAAAAAGAGACAGGTACGCTCGATGATGAGCAAGAAAAGGAATCTTGACTAGAATCATTTTTAAGCTAAAAAAAACATGTTTTTAGAAGGAAAATGTAATGGCTGTACATAACTTGAATAAATAATACAACTGAGGTTTTCTCCTGTTAGACTTTTTTAAAATGAGGAACTGAAATGAATATATTGTACATCTGTGTGTAATGCCTCGGTGCTCATTGATTAACCGTCTTGCAGGAACAGTCGTCAAAGCCTGAGAACAAGAATGTGATTTTCCTGAAGGTGGACGTAGATGAGGCTTCGGTAAGTGTGTTTTTTAACCACAACTGCTGCCCGTACAGAGATGTCAACACACACCATTACACATACAGTGACCTGCCAAAATACTGAAAGCAATGTGAACTAGTCATGAAATCCATTTCCCCAGGCCATGTGGAACCACAGCTGGCTCATGTGACCAAAGGGCAGAGTTTTCTGTCTCAGTGCTACAACATTGTGAAATGAGAGTAAACCTTGCTTGATGTTTAAAATCTGGGATAAAAAAATCAAAATGAATGTGTGAGCCTTTTTAACATTAACAGAAGAGGGAGACCACTGATATGGTGGCTTATTGTAACCACATGCGGTAACCCTCTGACACACATTGTGATATAAGGACTATGTTTACATATGTAGGGCATCCAGCTGTTGGCTGCAGGTAGTATCTGATCTGTGAAGCTGTTAACATGAACCTTGAAACCCTCTTTGATTCTCCCTGGAGAGACTGTATGAGCATGTTATACCTCCCACTACATTCCTGTTACATTCCCAAACAAGTAACCTTAAGAACCCAGTTCATAATCTTACCTTTAAAGTTATTCTGAACCAGTTAAGTTAAAATACTTTGGACCTAAAATCCTGCTACTTGGAGCTGTTCAAAGAACATGTTTACAGAATTACCTGGATAAATTTGCAGCCATAACGTCAACCTATTGCTTTGTGGAGTACCATTTCATTTGGCATTATGGCCATCGCCGTGTTGGTCTGTTGCAGCCAGCAGCAGGACTGCGCTCATTGGTTGCGCCTGGGATCAACTCATAGTTGCAGGAAACAATGGCAGCCCGCTCACACACTTGTCTTGTCTTGTTACACATTAACAGAACACTAAAATATTTTTCTGAAAAGATCTGAGGAGAGAAATAGGCAAAGCAATAAAACAACACAAAAACAGTTTCAGTTTCATCGGAGTTTCGTGCTTTTTGCTGGACACATTCACTGAGAATGACTCATGAGGAAGCCACACCCGAAAGCATACCTCGCTTTGTTGTCTGTTTTACTCTAAATGTGATCATAGTGATACAAAATGAACATGGTCAAATGCTGCGTGGAAGAAGACCATAAACTAGCTATTAAGACCATAAATTCGTTAGGAAACTGTTTACTTCTAAGACCCAGAAGCTCTGTCCGCTATTTACTTACTGTCAGTGGTTTAAACAAATAAAACCTGCAGGTTTGTACTCATGTTCTACTAAACAGAAAACAGTGACAACCAATAATTCGGGTCAGGTACTGTAGGAAACACAGAAGGCTAAAAGGGAGAGGCTCAGGTGTCCTCATCAAACTAGTCATAATAGTTTCCTGTTTGTCTGGTATCTGGATGACTTTGCATGAAACAAGTCTGGCAGAGTTCCCATCAGTGCACATGCAGTTTTATAGTCCCGCATTTAAAAGCTGGCTCTACTGCTTACTTGAGGGGAGGCTACACACATTCCTGGCTTAAGTGTGTAATTATATTTTTAATATCTTAAATTCACACTCACAGAAAGTCTTGACCTTACAGTTCATACTTCACACATGTATTGGTCTTTTTGGCTTGTGCATGTTAGTTTGAGCAGAGTGTTGTTTTTGACTCCATCTCACTGTTGTTCCCTTTGCTCTTTTTTCAGGATGTGAGTTCATCCTGCCAAATACGTTCCATGCCCACTTTCCACTTCTACAAGAATGGAGTGAAGGTAAGGATTGCATGAACATAGCTAATATTCTGTGTATTGTGCTGCTTTATTTACACGTTCAGCAGAAGATGAAGATGCAATCCATAATGTATTTCTAGAAAGGCCACATCCCCCAAAAATGTTTGTGGTCTGTAAAACCAAAACAATTAAGTAAAGAGAGAAAAGGCTGCGTAGAGCTGCTGAATTTGGTTCACATAGCCCAGCCCATGTTGCTCTGTAGTCCCTGTGACTCCATTATTTTACAGTTCTCCGATTGTAAAATTGTGTAGCTATTACACACCAAATAAAATAAAAAAGTTTTAAGTTTTAACATTGCGTCAACTAAAATATGAGTCATACTTAATGTCCTGGTGCCTCTTTCAATATATTTTCTCAAACTCAAAGCCAGCTATAGATTCTAAATCCAAAAAAGGAAAAGTATTTAAGGAAAATAAAGACCAGATTAATTTGCTTTCACCACCAACGCTGCTGATTAAAAGCTGTTTTAACTGTCTGTCTGTTCTGTCTTTCAGGTTTTCGAGTTCTCTGGTGCTGACGAGCCAACACTGGTGAAAAAACTGGAAGAGTTGAGAACATAAAAACCACAGTAGCCACCGCTGCCCTCTGTACACACTGTATGTACAGTAACTATCCGGTCTTCTGTTCCACACAGGAAATAATAATTCATTCCACTCATGTAATTGGTGACATACTATAGTCCTGTCAGTTTAGTCTATGTATTGACTGTCTTAACAACAGATTGAAATGTAATTAAAACCTGATGACTACTTTTTAATTCTGATTGATATAAGAAATTGGCTTTGATCTAAACTAACTTTGTTTGTTACATTATGTGTACAACATTGTGGATTTAATAAATGAAGATAAAATACAGGTACTTTGTACTCTCTTGATTCACATTTGATTTCATAACCTGCGTCTACTGTTGAGGTGCAAATTCATGTTCAAAGTAAAGAAATGAAATGGCCGCCAAACTTTGAAAATCCTCTTAGATTAACTTCTTGCAGAGGGGTTGTTCTGCCTTTTTAAATGTGCCATAACACTTTCTATCCATCGAGAACGCGCTGTTGGCTTGTTATATTTCCACTGTAACTAGTTGTGCTAATAGTGTGGTGAAACTTCTGTAAAGGTTTCCCCTAAATATTGCAATAGCTGGCTGTATTTCTTCATCACAGATATATGAAAAGGTCTCAAAGATAGTAGACCAGAATCAAACCGGGTCCAGAACATGTACATAAAGGGAGAGCAAATTGGGTCTGTTCCTGGTAACATTTTAGTTACAAGTTAAATTATAATAACCTGTGTCATACGCAGACAGTTGTTGACGGGTTCTGTTCAAAACTTCATCTAAAATACACGAACTCCAAACTCTTAACTCTGGTGTTCCCTGAGATGCAACTGCAGTGCACAATCTAGATGTTAGACCACGTTCAAGAGGATCCCAATCTAAAAGTCACTCAATCCAACCAACCTTCTGGGGAAAGATGGGAAGGAAACAAAATGCTTTTTGACCAGACTGTGCCCTTGGAAATACCTAAAGAACTGGGATTTAGGTATTTCATATTCTCTGACAAAGTACCCTGAACCCTAACTGGAAAGTAGAGTCTACTAATGAGGGTGGAAACAGCCTTATTGAACACAACAGATAACAAAGTGAGTGCCTGTTTAAAGTGCGACCTAAACTGGGTCCATATCCTCAGTGAGCCATTCCCAATTGGGTGGACTGTGGCTTTTTTGCTGGAAGGTAGTGGTGCACGTACAGCTGATGGTAAGGACACTGGGGATAAGAGCAAACTGTTCCAGCCTCAGGACTCTTGAACGATTACACCCTTGACATGACGAATAAAGAACACAGACAACCAAGAATGACGTCTTGCAACATACTTGTTTAGTTTTTTTCCACTAACCACCAGAATGCAGTACAATAACATACTTGTTGTCCCCCACTAACAGAATGTATTACAACATCCAGGCATATGCAGTTTCTCCTGCTGATCAAAGCACTTTTGGATCAGATAAAAACAGAAAGAAATCCTTGTTAATTCTTCCAACGTAGAGGATTTCAGGGGGTAAATGGATGAACATCTGAAAACCACAAGGGTCTGTTCTTAAAACCCTTCTCTCACATTTACATCAATAATTTAGTAGCTGCACTTAAATCCATGTTTGCTTTGGATTCAGATTTCATTTCCGAATATTCATCACTGTGGTACAATATAAAGTAAACTGAAAGGGCCTTAATTAAGGTGGCCTCTGTGCTTTCAGCTGATTTTGAAGCCTCCATAATCGTGTCACCATATTGGACACTGGGCCAAGACAAAGAGTTCAGGGAGGCAACTTAATTCAGGGCATGGTTGCAAGTGTAACCTGTTTGTTATACTGGGTGTGGTGAAAACATAACAAACACTATACAAAGAGATAATCTGAGGACACAATTACAGATCCTTCCTGTTCATCTTAATGACCATTGTCCTCAGGATTTCTGAACAGTCTCTTTAATCACTCACTCAATCAAATCAAAGAATCAATAACTAATGGTGCACACACTGTAAGCAAGCGTCCCCTTTGGATCAAACTCCGAGTAGTACCTCAAACCTGGGAAGTGATCTGTTTTTGTGTTTATTCTAGGATAATACACAGTGCAGCAAAATATAGACAATGGTCTTTAAAGAATAATTATCTGCCCAATACAAGGTTTAATGAGAGGAGTGACTCATGTGCCAATCAGAAAGGATGACACCCAGAATAACAAACTTATAAAAGGAGGGAGCAGACTGTGCTCAGGGCCCCTGATACGGCGGAGCTTTTCGAGTGAAGCGGATCGGACCCACAGCTGTGTTGAGGACAACTCTTGCTTTAATGTCCTTTCTCAAAATAACGAACACGACACAAAATATAAGTTCTAATTTATTGATTTAGATAAACCTTTAAGTTGCAAACAGTATTTTGTGTTGAGTTGTGTTGAACGTAAAATTAGAAGTTAACAACTTTGGTAAAAACATTTGTTTTTAGAGTGAAGTAGGTACATTTATAGCTGGGTTCAAACAGTCAACAGGTGAATCACTAAACATTAGTTACACCCAATAAATGTTTTTGCCTCTTTATATTCTGTGTAAGTGGGTGTTTCTGTGTCACAAGATTGCCTGTATAAGAAGATTAGGCAGTACATGGTGGTGACTCTGGGGCTGCTAATCCACTGCCTGTTTGTTTCGATTTCACCGCATATGCATTTGCAGCCATGGGAAAAGTGACGAGAGTGCTGCATCTCTGCGGCACAGCTGGCTGCTTGCCTTTACTCAGAGCGCCCCCTGCTGGTGGTAACACGGGTATTGCAGATTTTTTTTTTTTTAATTCCATGTTGTAATACAGACTAGTGTGCATGGGCGGGGATGAGGTCAGCTAAAACAGTAGGACCTTATAACATCACACACGATGATGAATGGATAAAACATTTAGTCTAAAATGTCAATGTCAGTAGTAAGTAATGCCCAACGCAATGTCCTAGACCTCAATGTGATCTGATCAACAGTCCAAACCTCCACCACTTTTAATGATAAAAAATAGACAAAAGCAAAAAATATTTGGCTTTTTTTTTTTTGCTTAAATTATGACTTAAATGATTAATTGGGTTTAAAAATTGGATGTGGTTGATTTTTCTGTCAATTCAGCGTGAGAATGAGGTTTTTGTTCAATATTTAACTTATATATGAACATATTTGCAATTTATTTGGTTAAAAAAGAGACTTTTAGCACGTAGGCATCATACTGTCTCGCATATTGATAACAGTTGAGAAAATAAGATTCATGGCAGTGAATGAAAGAAGCTGAAGAAAAATGTACTTGTGAATTAATAGTTTCATTCACCGGTTATTGTTGCTCAAATGTTGAATGTTTCCCTGTTTCTCTTCTCTATTCTGTGACATTGAACCAAGTGGAAGTACTTTTTACACATTTGTTACACATAGTCATCGCAGTGCTACACCTACAACTGAGCTGTGAGACCTAGCAGAGACCACAATAAATGAACCAATGAATGAATTTGTGTCTTTATCAATGCCAGCAAAAACCCACACTGCGCTTCTTTATCACACTGATGATCCAGCCAGAGAAGATAGTAAAAGCAGCAAAGGGATCATTCATTGTTTTTATTGATAGGTACAACATTAAGACAATAAAAGGGGCATCTTGTGACATAATGTTAACAAAGTACACTGTTCATGAACAAGCAACAATAAAGACAATTATTTTTTCTATCTCTGTGTGCCCTGCTGCAGCTAGCATTCCTCTACACGTCCTCGGCCGATATTGCGGTTCATTTAATATCGTTCAATACTATTCTTGCATACACCTTTGTCAGACAGAGGAGACGGTCTGTAGACATCTCCTTTACATTTACCGTGTACATATACAATCTATACATACAATCTATATTAACAGTAGATTAACAAAAAGTGCTGTAAATTCATGCTACAGTGCTGTGCTAAATCAAGACCTACAAGTACGCTTTTTTCTGCCTCGAAAAGTCTGAAAATAATATTTGTTGAACTTCTGGTGAAACTAAAGAAAACACATTTCTTTCTGCTCATTTCCTTAAAAAAAAAAAAAAAAATCATGGTTATGACAAAGAAAGTCTTCTTTAATAAGTCACCCAACCAGGCTCAAATCAATTCATTCTGATCAGTGAACTTTTACTGATTCCTCAAGTTAATTTAACTAATTAAAACTGTTTTTTCTTTCAGAGCAATTAAATAAAACTCCATGTGATGCTACAGTTTAATGTGTATAATCGTCGTAAACATTAATCTCGTACAACACATTGAACAAGTAAGTTTACCGATGCATTCTACTGTATCTACATTATACAGTCAAAATACTAAAAAGTACAAAAAATAGTTTATGCTTCAGGAGACGCATGAGAACCGACGATGTCGATGGAGACACAATGTAAAAACATCAGTGGTATAAAAGTCGTCCCAAATAAGGCAAAAACAATAACTTTCCCTTATGATGCATGACGTCAAATCAAAGCTCCACTCAACAAAGATATGAGAGAAAATAAAATAAAGTGCCTATAAGTTAAGATGAAATTAGAGGTTTCAGAACAGGGTTGTTGTTGTTGTTGTTGTCAGTGTGTCGGGGGTGTGATGGCAGGTGGAAGTGTCCTCGGGTGTACTGGAGCTCAGCGCAGTGAGTTGGTGGTCATACAGTCACACAGAGCCCTCCTCTCCGCCCTCAGCACCAGCGTCTCCGTCTGCAACGGACAAAACAACACGTCACCGTATGGAGCTGAACATTTTTACAGTTTCAGTTTGATTCATTTGCTAAAGTAGTCCAAAGTCCAGACCGGAGAGACTCTGAGTTGGTAAAAAAATGTTTTAAAAAGTTGTCTTCACATTAACTGAACTATGCTCTATTTGTGAGGAACACTGCAGACGCTACAAAAATATCCTCCAACACTTTCATCTGTTTTTATTTACAGATAAAGACGCTGGAACTGAGCATCAGTCGAAGATAATGCAGCACTCTGTTTGGTAAAGATATAAAACGTTATTTCTTAGTTAATTAATGAGTTTAAACCTTTAGTTTGGACATTGGAAGGTATTTGGAAATTCAGACATTTTTATATAACATGAGAATTTTTATCAAAAGTGTGGTCCACAGACTGAGTGGTGATTTAATGGGTTAGTGCATTATAATTAATTAGTTACATAATATTGTAAATGATTTTTATATAATGAAAAATATTTCAGAAAGCTTTGATCTTTCTAACAAGGTTAGATGTGAAAGTGTATTATTAATATAATATTTATAACTACGCCAGCAGTTTCACACCACATCTGTAATTGCTTTCAGCTGTTTTGTTGTTGTTGTTT